CTGCGCGGAGGGACGGGGGGAGCCGGTGCCAACGTGACCCAAGACTCGGTCTGGTGAGGGAGGCCCCAGCAGAGCCTGGCCCAGGGTGCCGGTCTGGACCAGCCAGCTGTTGCCCAGAGCCTGCAGGGGGGGGGGGGGCGGGGTGGGCAGGGGTCAGACCGGTGATGGTGGGGGGGTCTGGCTGGGCCCCAGAGCCAGCAGGAGCGGCCGAAGTGCAGCTGTGCCGGTGCTCACCAGGGCGCTGGGCACGCTGGCAGCTGGCATGGACTGCACCACCCTGCACCGCTGCAGCCGGCGCCCCGATTTCCTGGGCATCCTCGGCACGCTCTACGCACAGCCCGGCCGCCTGCCCGCCAGCCTGGTAAGAAGCTCGTCGTCCCCCAGCTCCTGGCCTGGTGCCCGGAGCCCCCCACATCCGCCCACTGCCGCCGGGCCCTGGCTCACAGCGGTGCGCTCCACAGCGGCACTGCATCGGGGAGGAGATCCGCTGGCGCCCGGGACCCACGGCCGAGGAGCTGGCGCAGCTGGGACCTGCCTTCCTCGTGGACTTACCGTAGGTGCCCGGCATGGCCCCCTCCCCTCGCCCCCCAAAGCCATGGGGACACCTCTCCCTGCAGCCGCCCCGTGTCCCACGGCCTAGCCGGGCCGAGCAGCACGTGGGAGCGCCAGGCTGGGGGATGTGGGCGGGCAGCAGCTCCAGCTCCCAGGGGCCAAGTGCCATGGGCAGGGCCTGGCCCTGGAGCCAAGCCGGCTCCCCGCAGCATCCTGCCAGGCACCAGCGCAGCCCCGGTGCCTGCGGGCAGCGCCTGCTGCAGTCATGCCTGGTGCCCCCCCGGTGCCCGCAGGCCCCCTCCCCCGGGGCTGCTGGCTGCAGCATGGCCTCCGTGGCTCCCGCAGGGTGAAGCTGGTCGAGCGGCTGCCCAACGACTCGCTCTGGCTGGTTCTGGACCACGTGAGCAGCCACCCCCAGAGCCTGCTGGCGCTGCCTCTCCACCGCCGCACCGCCCTGGCCCGCCGGGCTCTGCAGCTCCTGGTAAGGGCCGGTCGGGGAGGGGGCAGTGCAGAGGGCGCGGGGGACCTCACCCGCCACGCTCTGCCCTGCCAGCGGTCCCCGTTGGAGCCCGAGATCCCGGGGGAGGTCCTGGACCTGCTGGGCCCGCTGCTGGGCTTCCTGGACCGAGACAGCGCTGCCCGGATCCGGCCCGAGAGCCTGCTGCTGCGGCTGGAGACGCTGCAGGGCGCCTGCCTCTCGGATGAGTTCGCCACCACACTAGGACAACTGCTGCTCTCGAGGCGTGCACTGGGGTAGGCCCCGCGCCCCGGCCCCAGCCCCGGCCCCGGCCCCCCAGCTACGCTGCTCACTCGCACCCTCCTCCTGCAGGCCGCCACAGGACTGGGGCCCCCCGGACCTGGCCCAGCTGGGCCGCCTGGTGTTCTTGCTGCCAGAGGAGAGCGCCCGGCACGTCCCCAGGGTGAGACGGCGCCTGCCCCGTGCCCCTGCTGACCGCACCGGGGGCCACGGGTTCTGCTGGCCTGGCCCAGCGCCGCTCACCGGCAACGCGCTGCCCTGCTCTCTCCAGGCACTGCTGAGCAGAGACACGCTGGAGCAGCTGCTGCAGAGCCAGCGGGCCTGGGAGCGGAGCGAGCTGGGCCGGCTCTGCTACCTGCCCGGTGCCCGGCCCGAGGGCAGGAGCTCGCGGGATGCCCTGGTGTCCTGGCTCGTCAGGAGCCACGTGCCGGGAGGCCGAGGTGAGGCCGCTCAGGGCACTGCTAGTGTCACCCCCTCCTGGCCCCTGACGCACCGTTCCCGTGCCCCAGCGCAGTACCAGCTCGCTGCCCCCCCCCAACCCGCGCGTGCCCCCTGCCAGACCCCTGCCCCCCGGCAGCACGGGCAAGGGGAAATGGGTAGTGCTCCCGGGGGTGTTTTGGATGCTCTCTCTGCCTCGCAGACCCCATCCCCAGCTGCGCTGACTTGCGCGCCACCTTCCCTGCGGCCTGGAGCGCCGCCCAGATTGCCGCCATGGCGCCTGCACACTTTGAGGGCTGCCTTGAGCTCATCAGCCAGGACCCCGCGCTCTCCCCCAGCCAGCGCCGCGCCGCCCTGCTCAAGGCCAAGCAGGTGAGAGCGGCCAAGGGGGTGCAGCCTGGGCCAGGATCCTAGCTGCCACCAATGCGGGGGGACCGGGCCATGCAGCCAGGGGCCTGGTGGCAGCGCTGTGGAGCTGGTGGCTTGTGGCGGGGTCAGTGCTGAGCCACGCTGGTGCCATGCAGCTGTTTGGAAACCCCCGGGTGCTGAGGCCAGTGCAGACGCTGCAGCTGGGCCTGCTGGCCACGCAGCTGAGCGAGCGGGAGCTGCAGGACATGGAGCTCGCTGACTGGGGGGCCCTGTCCACCCTGGGGGCCCTGCAGGGTTGGACGGCGAAGCAGGTGAGGCCTTGACTGCAGGAAGGCACCTGCCCCTTGCCTGCTACAGGGGATGGCAGGCATGTGCATGTGCAGATGCACGTGCACATGCCTGTTTTTGGAGGGGGGGGACAGTGTTTGTGTGCCTGCACATGTTCACGTGTGTGTCTTGGGGGGCAGCAGGCACGTGTGTGCCTGTGAGTAGGGGAACAGCATGTGCATGTGAGTGCATGTGCATAGATGAGGGTGGCATGTGTGTGCATGTGTTTTGGGGGAGCATGTGCACAGGCGTGCGTGTGCGTGTGTGTACCGTGCTGGCTGACCGCGGCCCCTCTCCCCTCAGATGTGGGCAGCTGTCTCCAGCTTCCTGCGGCAGCGAGGGGGCGGTGCGCGGGGCCTGGGGCTCCCGGAGCTGGCTGCCCTCGGGCACCTGCTGTGCGGGCTCCGGGAGGACGAGATCCAGATGCTGGACAGCTGGGAGCTCAGGTCGGGTTTGGGGACTGGGGGTTGTTCGGGAGCCGGGCGCTGGTGACAGCTGGGAGGTACCAGACATGCGGCATCTTGCGGGAGGGGTGGGGTGGGGTGGGGTGGGGGGTTTCCCTGGGCGCCCGGGTGAGTCTGACTGGTGTCTCCCTGCCCCACAGCCAGGCTGCCCCTTTCCTGGGCTCGCTGAAGCACAGCTGCTCGGAGGGGCAGATGGAGGCGCTGGCTGCACGTCTGACATCCAGCTCGGCCTTTGGCCCCGCCAACAGCTGGGGCCCTGAAATCTTCACCGAGATCGGGACGCTGGCGGGTGAGGAGGCCGCGGGGCTGGAGGCAACCGGGAGCAGGCAGTCTGCGGCGGGTGGGCCGCAGGGTGCAAGGAATGACCTGGTGTCCCAGCGTGTCGTGGTGCACGGGACAGGCCCCCCCATGAGACCCCCTGGGCCAGCCCCCAGAACCCGCATATGCTGCCTTCCCCCCGGGACAGAGCGGGCCCCTGGACCCCCCAGCCCCATGCCGTTCCCTGCTCCCGGCTGCCCTGGCCAGGTCCTGCCGTGGGTGCAGGCGCCAGCCACAGACCTGACCTGCCTCCTCTGTGCCACCCCCAGCCGGGCTCCAGGACATTGAGCTGTCCTCGCTCGTCCCCGAGCAGATCCGGGCCCTGACCCCACTGGCCGTCGCCGGGATCCCTGCCCCCAAATTCTTGGTGAGTTACACAGAAGCGTGCCCGCTTCTCCCTGCCCCCAGCCCTGCCCCTGGGACCCTTGTTCGGTGCCCGCAGGAGCAGCCGTGGGGGGCGCAGCGGGGCTTGTGGGTGAGGGCGTGTGGCCCAGGGCTGGGGGCTGCTGTCGTGGTGCAGCAGATGCAGAAATCCAGCAGACGGGCAGAGCCTAGGCGCCGGACGAACGAGGGACTGGACCCTTCGTGGCGCTGGGTGCCAGGGGCTGGGCTCTGTCCCTGGGGCAGCACCGGGGCGCTGGGCGCTGGCCGGCTGAGCTCTATGCCTGCTGGCCTAGGGCCCGATCCAGCAGTGCCCGGGGCCTGAGCCGCGCCGCCGCTACCCTGCAGGTGGTCTTCCGCTCGGCCCAGCTGCTCGCCCTCACCAGCGCGCAGGCCGTGGCCGTGACCCCTGAGCAGTATGAGCTGCTCAGTGCCGAGCAACGCCAGGCAGTCGCCAGTGCCCAGTATGAGGGGGAGCTGGTGCCGGATGCCCGGGGTAAGCGCCCTGCACGGTCCCTTGCACGCACCCTCTGCATGCTGCCTCTGCTCCCGCCCGTGTGCTGGGGCTGCACCCCCACACCCGCATGCTGGAGGCAGCAGCCCCCTGCCCCAGCCATGGCTGCTGCGGTGCCCCAGCTCCTGCCGTGCCATGGGGCTGAGCAGCAGGACCCTCTGGCTCTCCCTTTGGTGCAGCCCACAGTCTTCCCCGCCCAGGGGATCAGGCCCAGCACATGCTCCATGTGGGGCCAGGCACCTGGCCTGCCCTTGCCTTCCTGCCCCCTGGGTCTCACCAGCAGCCGCCCCCTGCCCTGCCCTGCGGGACCCAAAGCCGCCCGCCTGTGCGTGATGGCACCACAGCACACGGGCCTGGCCCAGCCTTGCCTGGCCCTCATGGACCTCCCTGCTCTTGCCCACAGGCAGGAACGTGGCCTGGCCCCCGTCGGACCCTGCCCTGGTGCTTGTCCTCGGCCTGCTTTCTCACCTCCTCTAAGCGCCGTCCGTGCCCACGTTTGTAATAAACCGGCTGCCCTGCCTGCCGCTTGCTGTGCCGTGTCCTGCTGCAGCTGGTGGGGGCGAGGCATGGGTCCGGCCTGGCGGGAGCTGCTCCGTCCTGCAGCTGGACCGTGCCCTGGGCTAGGGCTCCTGCAGGCCCTGGGGTGGGAGCCAGTGCCCCTCATGCGCTGGGCACTGCTCCAGGCAGCTGCACCAGGGCCTCTTGCCTGCTCCGGGGATGAAGCTGCCCGCTGCCCTCTGGGCACGGGGCCCTGGCTATGGCTGGGTGATGGCTGCCAGGGCAGGAGGAGCTGCAGCTGCAGGCCTTGGGCTGGGGTATCCCTGGCTGGGGCTGCAGGCGCTGAAGAACCAGAGTGCGAGACGGGGTCACAGCAGCGAGCGGTTTATGGAGGCTGGTGCAGTGCGTTGGGGGTAGCGCAGAGCATTGGGGCATGCGGGGCGTGGGGCCACGCGGGCTACGGGGGCGGCGCTCCAGGTGCTGTGGCCGGCGGGGCCGGGCTAGTGCCTGAACTGGGACACAGGTGAGGGGATGCGGATGTCCTGGCCCCGCTCCAGCCGTCGCTCGCAGTCGATCAGGTAGTTCACACCATCAATCACCAGCTGTACCAGCTCCACCTGCGGCCAGAGGGCACGGGGTGGGTCGGGGCGGGCGGCTGGGCCCCGCGCTCTCCTGCCACCATGCTCCTTCATGGGGTCCTGGTCCCCCAGGCATGCGTGGCCCTTGCTGCCCCCGCCCAAGCCCTCGCCCACCTGCACAGGCCAGACACCAGAGGGGCCGTGGTGGCGGCTGCCGCTGCAGGGTGCTGGTCGGCTCCCACCCCTGCCCCGCACAGCACGGCCTGGTCTAGCACCGCCTGTGGCCCAGCACCTGGCTCATCCAGCTGTGACCAGCCCCCATCTGTACTGCCCCGTCCCCGTGCCCATGCGTGCCCCCGTGCCCACGATGTGCAGCCCTGCTGCCGTGGCTCAGCACCCACCTCCGACTTCCCCAGGCGGTCCAGGTTGGAGATGTCGAAGATGCTGCCCGTGGCGGCCGTGTCCACACCCCCTGTCCCACGCTTCTGGAGTCGCAGGTTCTCCAGGATCTTAGGGAAGCGGTTGTCCTGGACCGGAGCACATGTGGTGTCAACACCGGGGATGTCCAGAGACCAGGCAAAGGCGAACTCCTGCCGTAGCCACCCATGCCCCGCACTGCTCCTGGGAGCTGGCGGGCAGTGCTGGGTGCTGGGAGCCCCCCGGCGGGCAGCTTCCAGGGTCGGGGCAGGTCTGCTCCTCTGTGCCCTGAGAGCCCCTGATCCTGCACCCAGTGCTGCACGACGCCAGCTCCGTGCCAGGCTGGCCCCAGCCCCCAGCCCCCAGCGCGGCCCCACCTTGCTGAGCAGCGGCAGCTTGATGTGGACGCCTGCACGCAGGCCAGTGCCCAGGTTGGAGGGGCAGGTGAGGATGTATCCCAGCCGCTCATTCCACATGAACTCCCAGCCCCGTTCCTGGATCAGCCGCTCCACCTACGAGAGGCACCCGCAGCCCGTCAGCAGCCCCCAGGCCTCACGGGGCTGGGCCGCCCGGGGGTCCCCCTCGGCCCCCGCAGACATGCGGCACCAGAGAGAGGGGCCGCCCCCCATGCCCCCCGTCCCGATCCGCCCACCCAGGACTCACGTCCTTCAGGCCACGGCAGAACCGCTCAAAGACCCGCTTCATGTTGCCACCCTTCTCCATGGAGATGATGCGGGTATGGTCCTCCTCGTTCACCCACACCAGGAAGGTCTTCTCGTTGTTGTGCCTGGGCAGGGTGGCCCATCAGCATCTGTGGCCATGTGCCCCCCCCAGCCCTCGGCTGCTCCCCACCCACCTCGACCTGCCCCCAGACAAGGCGCCAGGCAGGCCGGCCCGGGCACGGCTGCAGCCACGCCTGAGGCACGTGCCCGTCGTGTGTGACCACAGTGGGGCCGCCCCAGGGGGTAGGACGTGGGCATGGCACGTACACGTGTGCAGCTCTGCTCACAGGCTGCCTGACAGCGTGGGGGTGGGGAGCAGCGGGCAGCGCGTGCCCAGGCCCTGGCAGCGTGGCTGACGAGGGAGCGGGGGTGCACGGCAGGGGGTGTGGAGCGGGCAGCGCTCGGGGCCAGGCTGGTTATCGGCTGGGCGGGGGTCACTGCGGGGGTTATGCGACGTGAGGGGAGGGTGGGTACAGAGTGTATAGGTGCACAGACTGGGGGGTGTAGGGGCTGGCCACACAGCGTACGCAGGGGTGGTTACACAAGCACTCGTGTGTGGGGGGTAGGTTTTAGAGCGCACGTGTGTGCAGGGGTGGTTATACAAGTGTGCGTGTGTGGGGCTAGGCTGGAGAGCGTGCAGGGGTGGCTATATGGCGGGGTTCATGGCCGTGCAGGGCGATGGAGGCTGCGTGCTGCATGGTGTGGCCGTGCAGAGCTGGCATGTGCAGGGTGGTTGCGCAGTGCGTGTGGGAGACTGGCCGTTACGTGGGGGGTGTGGGTCTGCACGGGCATGTTACACGCTCGGTGCATGCAGAGGGATAAAGGGGGCTGCGTGCACTCCCGGGTGCTGGGATGGGTGCGAGGACTGCCCCCGGGTGAGTGGCTTGCTGCCCAGGACTGCCCGTGTCACAGGGGGAGACGTGGGGGGGCCGTGCCTGGCATGCGGGGTGCTCCCACTGGGCAGCCTGCCATCCCCCCATGCCCTCTGGCCGCCTGCCCAGCCCAGTGGCCGGTGCTGGCTGCAGGCTGGGCCTCACCAGATGCCGCGGGCGTCGGGCCAGTCCCGGGCCATGCCGGCCGCTGTCAGCAGGGGGGACACGGGCTTGTCGAAGAGGAAGTGGTCCTGGGGGAGGAGAGTGGCATGAGGGCAGCACAGGCCCCCCCGCCGCTGGCCTTCAGCCCCGCCAGAGCCCTGGGGACCCGGGTCAGCGAGCATCAGCTGGGTCCACGTGGCCAGGGCGGCGCTGGGCGCAGGGTGGCACCGCTGGGAAGTCCCTGAGCAGCCCTGGCTGGACCGGGCCAGGCCTGGGGCTGGGGCAGGCACTGTCACGGTGCAGGACAGGGCTGCAGGACCCCAGGGGAGGCGAGGGCAAGGGCAGCTGGGACTCACGTCAATGAGCTGCTGCTGCTCCTTCTCGGTCATCTCACTGAGGCGGTAGTACCGGCCGGCCAGGTCGCCCGTGAGCCCATTCAGCGCCTCCGCAGCCACCTTCTCCACCTCCCGGCGTTCGGCCCGGGTGCAGGCAGGCGGCAGGCTCAGCCCGCGGATACTGCGCCCCGTCCGCACCCGTGAGGACAGCACGTAGCGCTCGTCGAAGTGCCCTGCCTTGATCTGGGGGTGGAGCGGGGGCAGGGGAGACCCGGGCGGGGTGGGGCAAGGGCAGGGGCAGAGGAGGGGAAGCCCCGGGGTGCGGGGAGTGCCTGTAGGAAGAGGCCCGGAAGTGCCCTGCGGGGCTGTGGAGGTCTACCCCAGCCCAGCCCAGCCTGGAGCGGAGGCTGCTCGGGCCTCTGTGCTGCAGGCGATGCCCACTCCCCCATGCCCAGAGCAGTGCCCCCGCGCTACGCACCTTGCTGGCATCCAGGTCTGTGATGTGTTTCATGGTGCGCGGGTTGTAGCCGTTGTGTCTCTCCTGAATCACGGGGTCGAACAGGTCGGCGAACACCTGCAAGTGCCGTGGGGCAGGGCAGAGGTGAGAGCGGGGCAGGGCTGTGGGGCAGGCGGCTGCTGGGGGCAGCCAGCCAGGGGAGGCCAGCGAGGGGCTGTGGGGCCGGAGAGGGGGCAGTGCCAGGCAGGCCAGCAGCCCGGGGAGCCCATGCGGCGCTGCCCAGAGAGGCTCAGAGCAGGGGGCGCGTGCAGGGCTGCGGAAAGGCCCGGGCGCTGGGATGTGGGGCATGTATGCCCCCCCCCTGCAGTGGGCCAGGGAGCACCCAGCTGCAAACCCAGGCCAGGCTTTGGTGCTAATGACCTGGGAACGATGCCTATTGAGCCACCCTCACCCTTGGGGATGGGCCTGGAGGTGGAGCTGGGGCACAGTCCCCAGGCATCTGCTGGTGCCCTGGTTCCTGTGTGGCAGGAGGCCTGACCCCGGAGGTCAGCGAGGGGCCAGCTGCGTTCTCTTGCCCCGGCGTCGATCCGTGCAGACCCAACAGGCCTCGTGGCAGGGCAGGCGCTGCTGTGGGGCCCCATGCTGGGAGCTCTGTGTCGGGCTCTGGGCAGCGCTGTGGCCAGGGCTGGGCTGCCCCGGGCTGGGATGGGGGTGCCAGGGGCATGTCACGGTGCCAGGGGCTCTGGTACCTCTCACCTCATAGGTCTCCTCGTCGCCGGCCACCATGCCCACAGTCTTGATGAAGGGGTGCCCAGGGTTGTCCACGCCAGTCTGGATGCACTGGTCCAGGGTCCAGCCGCTGGGTGTTTCCTTTTCGCAAAGCCGTGCGTAGATGGTGGGCGTCAGGCTGCTGGCCATGCAGTTGTTGTGCTTGCGGAGGTCGGGGTACTCGGCGCTGCGGGGAGGGCGCGGGCAGCGTTGGACCGTGGGGGCAGTGGGAGCATGGCCGGGCCAGGCCTGCCCGCAGCCTCACCCAGCTGCCCTGGGGCTTGCGGTTGTCCACCCTCTTGGCTCCCTGCTCTGCCCTTGGGCCCAGCTTGCCCCTCTCCTACCCCTACCCTGCCCTTGGCCCTTGCTCCAGCCCTCCCTCTGCCCCAGGGCACCAGGGTCCCTGCTCCTCTGTCAAATGCCTCCTGCCAGGTTTGATGCCCCCGCTGAGCATCTGGGGGCGGCCGGCCTCCGGGCACCCTGCAGCTGTGAGACGTGGTCGCCCCGGGCCTGGGGCTGGGCCGTGCCCATCTGTCATGTGGTCCCGGGCCTGGCCTTGGCCCGGACGCCTCCTCTGGGGCAGTGTCTGGCTGCCAGGTGTCTCCTCAGGGCAGGGCAGGGCAGGGCAGGGCAGGGGCCGGGGAAGGAGTGTCTGACCCCAATCCGTGGCTGGCAGAGCCGCTCTGTGCCGGTGCAGTTTATTGCATTAATATTGGCTCTAATCGGCTCAGTGCGGCCAGAGATATCTCCCGACCACACTCCCTCCTCAGACGGCTCCGTGCTGCTCCGTGCTGGCTGGGGGCCGACTGGGCAGGGCACGGCCTCGTCAGCCGGGTCTGGCCCGTCAGTGCAGGGGGTGCAGCACACGCCTGTTGGCTCAGGCACTGCCCGAGGGCTGGAGAGAGACCTCGTGGCACTGGGACCTCCTGGCCGGAGCTGCCCCGATGGGGCAAGTGGGCGCCGTGTGAGGGGAGGGGCACTGGCACTTGCCACAGCCCCTGGCCATCACCGCCGCCCCTGCACACACAGCACAAAGCTGAGCTGTGTCCGTGCTGCCTCCCTCGTGCCGCTGCCCAGGGGCCCAGGAATGTGGCTGTCTCTCGCCTACGGGGCAGCTGCCCTGTCCGGCTGGGCAGGGCCATCCAGCACCAGAGGCCGTGCTGGGCGCGAGAGCTGGCGCAGACTCGGTGCTGTGCCAACCGCTGCCCTGATCTTATGTGGCCTCGGGAGCAGATGTGCGGCGGCCCCCACGCTCGCAGGAGCAGCGTGAGCTGTGCCCAGAGCACCCCGGGACAGCGCAGCCTCCGGGATGTCCCAGGCACAGCGTGAGGCTGCTGAGCTGAAGGCAGTGGCCCAAAAGCTGGAAGGCTCCATGGGGGCCACAGCTTGGGGCTGGGTCATGCCAGGAGTGGGGCCTTTGCGTCATGGGCGCCCAGCTGTCATCCCGAGGGGGGCGGGTGGATGGATGACCGCTGCTGGTTCAATGCCGGCATGGGTGGGGAGCGAGTCGGCCCACCCGGCTCGGGCACAGGGATGTTGCTCTGCGTGGGGCCAGCTCCTGCAGACACTGTTCGGTCTTGCCTGCGGGGCTGTCTGTGCATCCCAATGCTCCGGGCACCCACGCAGCTTTGCTTATCGTGGAAACTGGAGTGTCCCAGAATCACTTGGCTTTGAAACACGATGGCTCTGGCTGCCCTGCGCGCTCCTGTCTGTGGCTGGGGGGGTCCTGATCGTTGTTCTTTGGAAGCATTTCCGACTCAGCACCCCCTCCCAGGCCACTGGCTCCTGCCTGGCTGGGATCTCGTCGGGCTGGGCAGCCCTTGCAGCAGGGCACCCGACAGCGAGGGTGGGGAGCGGGCAAGGGGAGAGGTGCAGGTGCTCAGCTCCTACCCATGTGAGCACTGAGACAGCCACTGGGTGCAGGTCACAGGCACAGGCCATGGGCACAACCCACCTTGTGCTGCTATGTACCGTTCCTTCCCTTTGCTGTGGCACCAGGTGCCTGTGCACCACTGGCATCGCTGGCACTGCCTCACCTATGGTGCTGCAGCCATGCACACATATGCACACTTGTATGTGCACATGCAGACTTGCTCCCTGTGCTGCAGATGCCAGTCCTATCATGTCTGCCACTCATCCCCACAGCCCCAGCTCCTGGAGTCACTGATGGGCAGTAGCAGGTGGGAAGAGAAGCTGGGAGCCATGATCCTGGCCATGGGGATACTGGATGTGAGCACAGAGCTGACACCGGCTGGATTTCAAGCTGCGGGCTTTGCTCCAAGTGCTGGTGTGTCTGGCAGACTTGTGGTGCTGGGAGTTGGCAGCTGGGCACTCCCTGTATCCTCTGTACTGCTCTGTGCACTTGGCACAGGCTCTCACCTGCACTGCGGGGGCGGGGGCGGGGGCCTTGGCTGCAGGAGTCACAGTGGAAGTGGGCATGGGCGGGGGCAGGGAGCCGGTGATGTGTCCCTGTGGCTTCCCCTGCCTCTCTGCACCCTGGGCTTCCTGCAGGTGCTCGTGCCCTGCCTGCCCTGGGCTGCAGGAGGAAGGAGCCCTTCACCTATTGCTTGGGCCCACTGCAGTAGGGGCAGGGCTGTGAGTGCTCTGCTCTGCTTTTAGGAGCTTTGCAAAAGCCTCTCGTGGATGGCGCTGAGCCCCTGAGCATGGTGCAGGAATCACCTCCCTTCTCCCTCCTGACCCTGCCCATGGTGGCTGCAGCACATTGTGGCTGTGTGGCCCTCGCCTGCTGCCTCCCTTCAGAGAGCACAGCTCATGGGGGCTGCCCCAGCACCAGCAGATGCTGGAGTGTGTGCACAGCGCTAGCGGGGGTGAGCAGGGCAAAGACATGGCAAGGGCAAGTGGGGGCTGGTGACTGGAAATCCCTCCTGGCACCTCCCTGCTGCTCATTGTGATCAGGCTTAAGGGATCTGGAGCAGGCCCTGCAGGGGTGCGGTGCAGCCTTGAGTGATCCCCCCAAGCATGCACTAAGCTACGGCTCAGGAGCCACTTCTCTGGCACCTGCCCACCCAGCCTGGCATTCGCTTGTGCTACTTTGCTGGGCACTGTCTGGCTGGGAGTCCTGGCACACACACCTGCCTGCAGCAGGCCACCCTCCCCCTTCCCCCCCACGGGCCCTGTGGGCTCGTGGGCACCAATGCCCAAAAGGCAGTGGCCCCTGCTGCTGCCCCTCCCACTGGCCAGGCACCGGTGCACAGACAGGGCCTGCGTAGCCAGGTGCTGCAAGGTGGCAGCTGCGCCCAGACATGTTCTCCCCTGGCCCAGGCACATTTCCGGGACCCACTCCCTCCCTCCTGCTCCTATCAATGGCAGCAACCGGGCACCTGCACATCACAGGCAGCAGAGCTGGGCCGAGGATCTCACTGAGGCCTTGCCTGGCTCCATCCCCACCCTGGCAGCACCTTTCACAGGCACCAGGTCGCCAAGCTCGGCTCCTGCCTGAAACACTCCTATTTGGACCCAGACTCTGGCTTGTCTGCCCTTGGCCCATGGTCCATGCGGCTGGTGGTGGGACGGGGAGAGCCCTGCTCACTCCACAGCTGGCTCAAGGCCAGCAATGTCCTCACCCAGGGAAACCCGCAGGGGAGCCTACGTGCCAACAGCTTTTCTGGGAAGCGCCCACGGGACCTGGCCCTGGAGGTGCAGTCACATGGCAGCTCAGGCTTCGGTGTGTGTGGACCTGTCAGGCTGGCTGGGCAGGCTGAGCTGAGGCCCACACCCTGGTAGCCCCAGCCCCAGACCAAGGGATGGGCGGGAGCTTCCCTGGTGCCACTCCTGAGCCTGGCGCTGCAGAAGACTCTGGAAGTGGAGGAACAGTCTTCCCCCCCCCGGCTCCCCCCAAAACTGCCAGTGACTGTGTGCCCTTCCCCGGGGTCCTCTGCTCCCTTGCTCCTGGCCATGGCCATCAGTGGGGAATGGTCCCAAGAGCTCAGTGCTGCCTGGAGCCCTAGGGAGTCGCCCGGGCCTGGGTGCCACCACACAGGGAGCTGGCAGCCGGGGCACCCTGCCCTGCCAGGCCGTGTGCCAACCTGGTCCTAGGCACCAGATGAGCCCTGTAGCCAGGAGGAGCAGGTGCAGCCCAGGGCTTGGGTCGCTGCTGCCGCAGAGCATGGCGCTGCCCGCGCCTCTGCCAGGGCCAGCAAAGCAAGGACGTGGCAAGGGCAAAGGCAAAGGGAAGGCTGGGTGTGGGGCCACGTGGGGATCCGGCCGGGCCGGGGGCGCCCACAGCCTGTCCCA